AAAGTCATTGTTACAACGCTGTATGGGCCTCCTAAAGAGTAATAGAGTTATCTAAATTCGTACTTTTGTCGCTGATTTTAAGATCATCGGCAAATAGTAGATTATGAAACTTGTTGCTGAATCATTCACAATGCAAGAAAAAGAATCTTCATCTCTTTAATGTAACAAGCATCACTTAGGCCGCATAAATTTGCACGGTTCATGCTGATTAGCTTTTTCTGATTCCAGCATAACTTTTTCTTACGTACGTGTAATTTCTGATTTCACGGGTACCAGCTTCTGGGACGTCAGACACCAGCTTTTGTTTGGGATTATGCCCCGTAATCAATTTTTTACACCGCACACAAACGATGCGAGATATTTTTCTTGGTGCTACTGGAAATGCGCTTTGTCAGGCTAATGATGACAGGCTTGAAAAAACAAGGTCTTCAGGTAAAGACTAATATATAGAACTGAAATACGATCAAACTGAAACAATGTTAGCCTGATATTTATAATTATAGATATTAAATCACGTAAGAAACGTAAGTAAGAAGGATTCACTCCTTCAATTAAGAAGAAAATCTTTCCTCAAAAGGACCACGCACCATTCTTATGGGAAAAATTGATTAAGTTAGATTTGCTCCAAGCTTTGAGGTTGTGGTAGTCAAATTTTATCATTGTACTAACTCGATTTGAAGTTACAAAATGTTGAAAAGGGTTTGAAGTGGCGCCTTAAGGTCGTTTGTCAGGAAAAAGATAGCACTCAATTATTTGTTCATACAAAATTATGTACTAAATGCTGCCTGTCTATTTCTAATTATGTAGGAAACTTAGCACACCAAGTTTAGCACAATATTCATCTAGTTAAACACCTAGCTTATGATTTGGATGTGCTACTCGCATCACAGGGGGCTTAAAAGAAGTGCTATTGCAAGTCGTGCAATCCCTTCGCTCATTTTGCCTCTTACTATTCTTCAAAGTCGCATAGGTGGCCCGTATATCACATTGACGATGTTATAAAGTTTTTAATCATTTCTTGAGATGTAAATATCCGACTGACTTGTGCTCATTCTATGTGCCTCAACCTCTGGAACAAGTATCAACCGCTTTAGGAAGGGCCGCCAGCAAACTGCCACTAAACAGGATAAAATATACTAGAACAGGATAAAATACGTTGTTTATATCAAACCGTCAAAGCAAATCTACCGGAACTACTTATACCATAAAAATGATGGTCCTTTTCTGTATCTTTTCATCTTTTGTGGTTAACGGCTATCCCCGCAAATTGCCCTCAATGAGTAGCAGTAAGATTCGAATGGTTACAGTATTACCAACATGACACAATCGCCTAACAGAGGAACTGCACCAAAGAGGAACAGAGTCGGCGTGTCATGTCTGATGTGAGTGCAAAGTACTAGATCACAAGAAGCAGGATCTGTTTGGGAAATCGAACTAAAACCAATGGACTTTCTTATAGTATCGTCAGGAAATATGTAACAACTAATACAGAATTTCAGACTAAGTCTCCAGAGGATAATTATTGGACTAAAATGTTTCCCGACACTTCCTCAATATAGACTCAAGCCATTTTCTCGTTTACCACGGGCGACCGTAGAGCTTTTGATAATCATACCAAAGGATATCTTTGAGGTTTCCCTTTCTGGTATGCTATACAATGCGAACTGGTCCACTTTGTATCGTAAAATTTTACAAGCTTGTTGTTGATGTTATCACCATTGTTATCTAATATTTCTGCTATAATACAATAATCACACATGTAGGAGTCGGAATGTGTGAGTGCAAAACTATCTATGTTATAACCACATAGGCATGATCATCATCACATTAAAGAAATATCTCATTTGTAGAAGATTGCAGAGCACGCTTATTAACAAGGCATTTGTATCAATTACCTGGAAAACGACCGAGCATCGTACAAAATGAGCCCTGTATTCTATAAGAGGCAAAGCTTGGAAGCAATTTAACTTCCTGACCTTTGACGTAATCCTCTATAATCATTGCAATTAAATGGGGACTGTATAATCTTGTTGCTGTAATTAATTTGTTACGCATTTTAGACTCCGACAGGATATAACTTATATACCTACCTACCGTATACCGGGAAAAAATATAAAGTATTAACTTCTAATTTTAATGACAGGTGCTGAGTATTTCTTAAGTTCAAGTGAACATTATATTGTTTTGTTATAAACAATTAAACGGGAGAAGATTTTTGTTTTATATGCTTACAAATGAAATTATTTCATTCGAAATACTCGGAATGAGAAAATGGTATTTCATTCAAAAACGGTTGAGAATTTTCCCTAACCTCCTGTTGAGGAAGGCTACGTCCTATTTTCAGAATTATTTTCCTCTGTCCTATCTTTACAGAAAAATATTAAATATTAATGCTGTTTGCTGCAAAAACGCGAAATCTTGGGGCCAATTTTGCATTAAAATGACAGAACACAGTGAGCAACGACACTTTGTTTTTTTTTCGTCATAAGCATGTCCTGAGATATTGATATATGATGTTAAAGCTCAAATCAGTACAAAAAAATGGCGTAAAGTACGTTGATTCTGCATCTCCCATGCAACGCTGTCATCACTTCATAAAGGGTTATGTTCGACACACGTTAACCAACGTCTGCTCCATTGCTGCTCTTATGCCACAGCAGCCACCCATCGGTCAGATCGCGATGCAGGTATATCCAGAGTCGCTTGTGTTGAAAATATCTCTCTATCATAATTTAAAGGCACATGTACTCTATGATGTTAATTTTTGCCTTGCATATGATTACTCGTGCTGGAAGCATATAAATATAAAATTGAGATATACGCTCCTACTCGCTGCAACGCGCAATTTTTAACCACTACAATAAGTCTTACGGAAATGATCAGGAGCCCCTAAAACTTCAAAATTCTAGACATTTTTATTTTTTTGTCTAACTCTGCATCTACTAGACCGATATGCAAAAAACTAGCATAGTCGTAACTCTGTTTAAAAAATTCATCAGAATCAGAATAGTACTTTCAAAGTTATAGCGGCCCGAAAATTAGCAGACCGATAAACGGACCGACGGCAATTAGTGACATAAGTTTTCGTGCTGGACATATAATCTAACATCCAAAAGCATGTCAGTTCCTTGCCAGTTGGCGTGGCAAGCAAAAGTAGGCAGCAAGATCAAATACTCCAAATTTTGACAATTTCAATTCGTAAGACTGCGGTGCGTATCATTGACGCTTGTTCTCAAGCCGCAGTTCGCAGGGTACGACGTAGTACTTGAGGTTAGAAAAATTTCATATTATCAAAAGAGCCAGAGTCAGTCTGAAGTTCTATTTTTTTTCTAGCCCCAAATACCACTTCATGCTCTCCAAACTTAGCCTTAGACTGCTGATCTTTATTAAAACATGTCCAAAAGACTCAGTTGTGTTGTATTTCTTGAACTACTAAACACTCAGTCTAAAATTTTCCCAGTTACTAATAATTTATTCTCAGAGTCCATATACTTCTTTTATACTTTGAAATCAAACATCCTTGCCTGTTAAATCAGACTACGTCGTATATTTCTGCTCTCAAAAAGTAGATATGACACGCTAGAGCTACGCCACAAAACAAGTTACTAAAAAACTGGAGTTTTCCTGCTTGCGTCATTAAATCAAAATCTATGAGGTTTTCTTGTCACTGTCAGTATGACACCTTTCTTCTCATATGCGTGTGACTTGTATTTGCCCATTTTCACCCAATTTATTTGTGTGTGCAAGAGCGAGTAAGAGCTGCGTTGCAGATCGGCTTGTGAAGTATGTAGTCTCTCTTGTTTCGTATCGAATTGTGACGTAACTTTCAAAAACCATGGAAGAAACAATGAGCCTAGTGATACAAGCTGTGTACTATTTGTGTCTTGCATTACTGAAGTTGGTATGCCAGGGAAGGTTTACAGTAAATATAGTAAAGCCCTATGGTACACAAATGGGAAAAAGCTTATTTCTTTATAACGCTCCAGGATATTTTAAAGGAGAAAGTAATTAAGGTTGCACTATAGGCCGTAGCTACTGCGTTGTGAGAAACCGTATTCAGGTCTTCAAATATTTTAGTCCAGGTAGTATTAACAAAAACGAAAATACCTTGCTGCTATTAACGTAATGAAAATTCAGCCTGAATAACAATTCAGGGGCGTATTTGGAGGAATAAATTTTCCTAACAACTAGAGCTCCATCCTGAACATTAAAAGCAACTTTTGGGCCTTTAGTGGTTAGTACCAGAACTCATTTATGCAACATCTATTCGAGGCTAGGCTCCCCAGTAAATCCTAAACATCCTCAAAATTCTTCACAAAATTATGCTAAAGATGCAAATTTTAAGATCCAACCGCAATCCCAAGAGGCAATAGGATATATCCAATAAATAAAGGACTACTTCGACAATGACGGTACTGTATGGTTAAGGTGTACCCTTCGGAAGGTCACATAGGCCAATAAAGGAAAGAATGTATAACCAAAGGTTAAATAACAAAACAGGAGGCATCAAAATTAACACTACCTGGACATGTCAGAGAAGCAAGGAAAAGTAGAAAAAACGGTAGTAGGGTTTACAAAAAGAAGAGGAATGAAATATGTTGAACCACGGCTGTCATTGCAATTCTTGCAGATACTGTGAACTAGCCTAGGTAATTCAGGTTGACTAATCCTCAGAGTTTAGCTTTCTGTCTAGATATATTTTGTGGCATGAGTTATATCGATGCTCTTGTTAGAATACAGTGGGAGCGAGGACCTACCTGTACAATGTTAATGCATGATTCCTCATTGCCCAACGTGTGTATGCAGAGAATTTGGGACAAAGTGAGCCTAGTCACTAAGCCACATTTTATGGGATGCACATGTTGTTTACGATGATGTTTGAATTCCGAGCCACATACAGCTAAAAAGATTGGCCTCTGTTCTTGTCAGTCCTTGCATTTTCCTTTTATCATCCCTTCCTTCATATGAGCTTAGCAATGAATTTGTATCTTAAAACTCACCTTGGAAGGGGTATCCTGCGAAGTAGGGTGACATGTTTAGCGCAGATACAGCCATACGGCCTCGGATGAGTCACGATTCCACAGATTTGCGCACCGTCAAAACTCTGTCCACGCACCAATCACTTGAAGTCACACGAAGTGTCCTGGAACCGATAGTTACTATTGAACCACTTGGCGTGTACTGACCCATCCAAGTAGAGGGACCCGTGTGGGTTCTCAGGCCCGATACAGGGCGGTACCAGGCCGTATACCATTGACTTTTCTTTTGTTAATGGGCTGGCGGACTCGCTATTGGTTGACGGTTGAATGGGCGGGGTTTGGCACGTAACCATAGTCTTATGGGACTGGGGGACCACCCTTGGTGACGGTCGGTCTGCCAAGTGTGGATTTTTATGCCTTGTGTTTTATGTGGAGCGGCAAGAGTTTGAAGGAAAAGGCGGAATGCGACGGACTTTATTGAAGGCTGTCGGTATTTAGTTTTGGTTCTTTGAAGATTTTTGGGGCGAAATACTGATGTGGTGCGTGCTGCAATGAACTGATACAGCCTACTCACCACAATGACGGTATGGGAAAACCGAACCATGTTCCACATAATGGAACATAGCATCATGTGGAATGAACGTATTGTCATGATTAAAACTGCATACTAAAGCTCAGCTGATGAGCCTTAAGACCTATGTGGATATCTTGCACAGTTTCCGCGTAGATGTCATTTTCATTGGACATGACATTTTGTTAATGTCTCCCGAGGAGATCTTACCTCAGGTGTAGGAGGACTTCACCCTATTCGTCATTTGTTTGTCTGGGCGGTCCGTAGGTCCTTTGCCCATTAGTAAGTTAGTCAAATCTGCCAGTCCTGGTTGCCCAGAAACCTGACAATGTCAACGAAAAAGAGACGAGCAAAGAAAAACAGAAGTGTATCAGTTTAAGATTAAACACCTAGGTTTTTTGACTTGATGCACAGATTAACTTTGAGGCGAACTAAAAGCATATTTGGATTAAGGTTTTTTTAGAGTGTAATTTTGGACTTACTAAACGTTCCCGCTAATTTTTGATTGTTTACAAACTCGTTCACTGTGTAGTCCACTGAGCTACGCAACTGAGGGTTGCTGTGCGATTCCGCTTGACAATAACCCTCTCTGCGCCTGAAGCTTGACATAATCCTTCAAGTAAGGAATATCAAGGTCTCTGTATCGTGTCTCATTTGAAACATACCATGAAGCTTTGTAAATTGTTCGTAAAGTCCTGCTTTGCATGTGTGTCTTGGCAAGAAAACACCAAGCCGCCTTTGCATAAGTAATGGCTGGTCTAATAATAATCATACATAACATAGGATATAGGATAAAGAATAAAAAGGACTTAGTTGCCGAAAAGCAATTTCTAATTTTGTTTTTAACGCTGCTGTATGTTTCCACAAGGTCACGCCTTTATCAAGGGTGACACCGAGATACTTGGCAAGAATTTTTCCATGGTATACGATTTCCGTCTACCTAAACCTCGGCTGGGGGGCCCCGACATCTTTTGGTAGAATAAATGACCTGCATTTTCGAATGATTAATCTTAATCAGTCACCGTTCCGCCCTCTCTAGTACCTACTTCCTCCACCATTAACCCATCGTGAACCAGATCACCAGTACACACCTGGGCGACAAGTGCAGTGTCATCAGCGTAGAGGTAGACTTTACAGTTGCTGGTTTAAGGGTCGTCCTGGATAAAAAGCGAGTAAAGGATTGGTCCTAGAACCGAGCACTGAGAAACACCGGCCCGTACATGCCGTGTTTTTTGAGGAAGATTTCACCCTAAGTTGTATTAAGTGATAAGTGATCGACCGTTGTAGTCATCATTTACTAAAAAATAAGTACCTCAAACAGAAAATTCACAAAACGTGCAATTATAAAAGTTGGCAAAATTCGTAGCCATTTTCCTAGTAGACTTTCCTTTGTCAAGATCGTCCAGCTTATTCCTTATTATGACTGCGTCAATTATGCTTTTAATTTTGTTGTTCTTTTTGTGTTGTATTTGAAGGGCAGCTACGTTGTTCTGAAAAGCAAACTGAATAATACTTTCATATACTTTCTATAAAGAAATTTAGTTCACCCATCTAATGACGGCTCAACAATAACGTTCTTTGAAAGTCTACCTTTGCATCAATTTTGGTACCGGATGAAAGACACTGGTTCCACAATAAGTTCGAGATCAGCCACCAAAAAAAGATAAAAGAATCAGATACTAATTTCCAGATCATTCAGTCAACTTTTAGAGTTTTGTCAAATTGTCGACTGAAGTGTAAATGGATATGAGTTGCATTGAAATAAAATTGTTTCTCTCATTTTAACGAGATCAAACATAATGCATTTTTGAGCTAAATGTGTCTGACTTTCTGAAAATATAATTTTAACCACTATCATAGAGGTTGTATTATTAATTAATATGATAATTAAAATAGCTATATTTATTCAGTTCTAGTCCGTCTCTCACGATTTGAAAATAGTCATTTTCAAGGGACATCTAACTGGTCACACCCCGTTAAAATTCCGTTAAATTAGGGATTATCGTTCAATAGTTATTTAAGAAGAAAGCAGAATGCCAGTGGCGGAAGAGAGTGCCCCCGGGTAAGGTCCCCCGGTTCTATATGTGGATCGGGCCAGATCATACATACTTACTGTATCAGTACTGAACAGTAATATGACTATACTCCCAATGCATAGTCTTGAACAAGTGGTACCTAGTCGTATTAATTAAACAAATATAATTGAACAAATAAGAAAACATTTTTTTACTTATCAGGAGCCGCTGCAACATCTGAACCGAACTGACTAAACCATCTTGTCACGTGAGCGTAAAGAACACCAATGGGCACCCGTTTGTAGTGTGTTACAGTCAGATTGCTGCATGTGGCATATCCTTGCATCAATAGACGCACTGCCAACTACTAGACATTAGAGTGTTTTATTACTTCAGGTCAATATTCGTCATGAAAACTAAATACAAATCAGTGGTTCTCACCCACATATTATATTTGTCTATCGTTATCTGTGTGGTATAATTCTCATCAACACTATAAAGGTAAGGGTCTACTGGTCCACCCCGGTCAGGATGCACTCCCTAACACAATGGATTTAGGGAAATAGGAATCTTTCCTACAGTAATCTCGTTTTGGTGGTATCGTTTATTGCTTCCTAATAAACGCGTTTGAAGGAAAATCTTAGAAACCATCGATACTATAATTTGTATGGAATTGATTAATTCTTTATCATTTTGCTTTTACGAAAATTTGTCATATGGGACATGTAATGATATTCTCTCTTATAATGGCTAAACTAACAAACTAAGTGGTTTCGAGGTGGAGACAACTCCATGAATCATTATACAGGGTGACTTCGAAGTTGAGTCATTTATTTTAACAGTGAGTAGATCTGATCAAAAGAAATGTTTTTTTCCTTTACCATTTTTCTGGTAAAATTAAAGTAACAAAGTTATAGCCCTTTGGAAGTTTGAGTACCGCCCTGTCTCAATGTGCTCGTGTTTGGCGACAACCGATATAATCCGCCGTATCGGTTCATCGCATCGGAAACAAAAAAGCGAAAGAATTTGGAACGATGTTTTTACATTGTTTCATTCATTTGTATACAGTCAGTGTCAGTGACTAGTGGTATCTGTTGCGTGGCTCAAACGAAATATAAAATGGCACATGTTTATGCGGATCGGTTTCCCAATCGAGTGCAACCAACCCCTCGTGCCTTTGTTAATGTAGTACAACGGGCTCGTGAATCAGGTGACTTAAGACCTCACAGGGGACCTCACGATCAAATACAGGTCCGCACTGAAGTACTTGTCGGGAGGATACTTTATAAAACAAGGTAAATTTTTTTTTTATTTTTTTTTTTATTTTTACACACATATTTTGGTTTATCTTCCTTCTACAATCATTATCTGAAAATTAATGACTCAACTTCAAAGTCACCCTGTATATCATTATCATTATCATAAGTATCGAGAATGCGCGCTTGCCGCAAACTTCAAACCTCTACAAATGTGTGTCTTTTTTGGGGACGACGAACGTCGCTATCCACACGTTTGCGGGTGCGTCAGTATGCTCTAAGGTGGGAAGCATGACAGACTTCGAACCCAACATAATCCGGACTCTAGTATTTCATTTTAGATTAGCAGCGCTGACATCACGTTCAGAGTCCTTGATCTGGTGGTAATATTTGACAGACCAATTATTGACCACCCAGATTATCCGGATCAACTGAAGAGGGGCTAAATATCTATTCTCTGCAGGTATTAACACTACTAATACTAAGATTAAAACTGAGTTATTTACTACTGAATAGTTAATCGTTTATATATTTTATTTACAAAAATGTTAGTTTTAGGTATTAAAAATTAAAACTACAGTTACAACTAGGTCCTTGCTGTTGAGTTAAGCAACTCAATTGAACTAAGAACTAACTTAAAATGAACGAAATTCAGCTGAGCTTTACAACACTAGATGTCAGTTGAATCCAGATTATTGCCGAACAAGCTTATGTCCACTTGTATGTATGTTCGCCACCAGCGTACAGACACAAGCGAAACTGAGGGCGCACATACATCGACGCGTCACAAGCGCTTGCAGCAAACCCCTTTGATTTGGGACCAAAAGCCGACACTCGATCGGATCGGCTACAAGCGCTTATAAACCTACGGAAACCAAGGCAAACGCTTTATCCGCATGTTTGCGTTTGTGCTGATTGGATGAGGCTTGTCAAATTTACAGCATAATGCCGCGGGAAACAATGCTGGTTGCGGATGAGGTCGACAACGTACGTAGCATGTGAAGAATGTCGCGCGAATGTTTTGATACGAACTTTCAACTTTCCCTCTTTATGGTCGAAAAAACGTAAAAGACCTGTGTGGCAAATTTTAGTCTCTACAAAAAAATATTGCGTATTTTATTCTTAAAGCCATCTGTCACGATATGAAATTTTGTGCTAAATTTAGTACCAAATTTTGTGAAAAAAATTGTTATTGAATTTAGTTCCCAATTTGTTTACAAATTACAATCCTGTCTCACACGTAAGCAAACTTTTGTACTAAATTCCGTACGAAATCATGCGCAGTTGGTAGAAACAAACTATATGTGTCAACTTCTAATTGCAATTTATCACGTCAAGGTCATTCTAACCACACTTTCCTTTGCGGGTACTACTTTATTCCCATATATTATATGCGCCTGCGGCAGCAGCGATCTGCGATGTAGCTGCCCATCTCATGAGAAGAGAATGGAGTAAACGAAACTGTAAAATAACTTGATGCCAAAAACGGAACAGGGAGAGGGACTAGGGGA